GGCATCTTCAGAAAGCCCTAATGTATTTCCCGAAATAGTTGCCTATAAGGAGTACCTTTAAAGGGATCTATAACGGGCTTAGGGTTTAGGGTAAACCCTGAACCCTCAGACAGCTTTTTCAGGAGGCTTTTAAGTTTCTTGCTCAAAGCCGGGCAGGCCCCTTGTAGTCTCTAATATAGGGGCCTTAACAATTGCCTACACGCTTATAGTATGGCGTTCCTTTAAAGGTATCTATAATAGCCTATTCTCTTTTGGGGGGCTCCTTATTATGATTATAGTATGATGGTTCCCCAAAACCCTATTCTAATTATTAAGGCCCCCTTTAGTACAAGCTTCCACGCCTAAATTGTGAGCTCCTCAATTTCTATTCCTTTGACTCCCAAAGTCTTATGGCTAAGTGGCGGTTTGGGATGATGTTTGGTTTCCCTCTTGTTTTCCGCAGGTACATGCTCATGGGCACCTTTGGGTGGCAACTAAAACCAGAAGCCCTAACCAGACTTCCCCTAGACCCAAAGGAGTGGCGCGGCCGGCATTCCTCGCCGGATGCAGACAGCATTTCACGGGCCTCGTCGGAAGGCTCTTTGGCGCTGGCTGCTGCCTCCATGACCCTGGGAGGGCTTAGGGTTTTAGGGTTTAGGGTTTAGGGTTTGGGATTAAAGTTTAGGCTTTAGGATTAAAGTTTAGGGTTTAGGGGTTTAGGGTTTAGGCTCGCTGGCTGCTGATTCACGAAGTCCTGAATCGCCCTTCTCCGTCAATCCATCCCTTCCGACGGAAGTGTGTATCGAGTTCCAGGACTATGACGAGCAGCGGCATGTGTGTGAATGAAATACTTTGTCACTCTTTGTCATAAATATGTGTATATATATATACATATATGTGCGTATATATGTATATATATATATATGTTTCAGCAACTCTGAATACATGAAGACATACATACAGCCAGCCAGTCATCCATGCATGTATGCACGCATACGGACAGAGACAGACAGACAGACAGACAGACAGACAGACAGACAGACAGACAGACAGACAGACAGACAGACAGATAGAGACAGATAGAGACAGATAGAGACAGACAGACGGACACACACATCAAAGCATCTATGCATGTATGCATGCATACTGAAAAAGACAGCCAGGCGGGCAGACGGACAGACAGACTGCGCCTGACATCCACCACGACAGCAACTAAAGCATTGGTTAGGTTTCACATTGATTGAAGGACCGAAACCCTAAACCCTAAACCCTAAACCGTTGAAGGAAGCCGGAGTATGCCTCCCGAACCCGTGGAATGCACCGCAAGCGGCGCGATATTTTTGGAAACAGACAGCGGACTGGGTGAGTCCAGGAACAAGCACCGACATGTAGACTAGAAGCTTAAATAACCACCAATACTACTCCTAGGGTTTAGGGTTTAGGGTTCAGGGTTTGATAGGTATATTATAATGCATCCCCAAAGGCCCTGTTTTCAGCTGCCATGGGCGTGGACCCTGCGATGTCCCTCCCGTTGGCCGCCAGCTATTACTCTAACTGTTCATGCGAGTGCATGAAGCTGGGTTCTTGTGAAGGGACTTGACTTAAGTTACCACAAGAAGGAACCCAGATTATTTCCATAGATCCCTAACCCTAAACCCTAAACCCTAAACCCCAAACCCTAAACTATGAACATAAGCAAGAACCCAGGAAGAAAGTTTTCGTGGTGTCAACCCAGAGCTTGGTGGAACCCCAAACCTGGGCGCCCCAATCGCCCACAATGAACCATATACAGGGGTTTAGGGTTTAGGGTCTAGGGTTCAGGGTTTAGGGTCGAGGGTTCAGGGTTTAGGGTCTAGGGTTTAGGGTTGAGGGTTTAGGGTTTAGGGTCTAGTCATGTACATATACCGTCGGTTTAGGGTTTGGGGCTTAGGGTTCATATATCCTGTGTTTTTGTCGTCTGAAGAAGCTTTGAGGTGCAGGTAGACTATGAACCTCGTAACACTCTCATTTTCTGATCCCTCTTTCCGGAGGATGCTGATGCACTGCAAGAGCATGAGCGAGAGCTCAGACTGCTTGCCGGGTGCCTGGCAAGAGGCTGCCTCGGCAGCCATCCGGGTGGTCAAAGAAACGGTGGACACTTGGCCTGGCTCAATGGAAATTTAGGGTTTAGGGTGTAGCGTTCAATGGGTTATGGGTTTAGGGTTCCATGGGTTCAATGGGTTTAGGGTTTAGGGAAATACTTTTCCCTGAGATGACTTGTTGTTTTTGTTGCAATATGCCCAGGAACGCTACAATTGTTGAGGCTCCTATGTTCGGCCTTCAGGTCTCCGCAAACGGGTTTGTGATTAGAGCGGTGTCAAGTTGAGCTTAGGGTTACATCAAGGTTGTTTAGTAGGGTTTGAAAGAGTCGAAATCTGTTGTCGATAGGTCTTGGGGTGTTATAAAGGTTGTGTGATCAAGCTGCGGTTTTCTGGAAAGGGCTGTTCTGTTGAAACTCGAATCGGGTATTTCGCGGGATGTCCCTTCCTTTAGGACCTCTTCCTGAGGGATCGTGCATGTCCTACTCTTTCGGAATTTTAGAAGAAGCTCCTTAACACGGTCTTGAAGCCCTAAACCATAAACCCTGCAAGCCATGTATCCTAAACCCTAAACCCGAAACCTGTAGATCCATAGGTCTTCAACATTAAGCACATGTCTCAGGGTGCAGCAACCGATGCCAAGCTGCAGCTCGACGAAAATCTCTTCAAAGCCCTCGCAGCCAACTCCGTCATTGGAGAGCACCTTGGCCATGGTGGGTGTTGTAGGTTTAGGGTTTAGGGTTTAGGATTTAGGATTTAGGATTTAGGGTTTAGGGTTTAGGGTTTAGGGTTTAGGCCATGGTGTTCGCGGGCTTGCTGACGGTCTCAT